AAACTTATAACCAAAATTATAACAAAAGAAATGGGGAAGGACACTTCAAACTAATCAAAGAAAAAAAAATCCACCAAGATGATGTCTCAATTCTGACTATCTATGCCATAAATGCAAGACTGCCCACATTCATAAAAGAAACATTACTAAAGTTTAACTCACACATTGAACCCCATACATTAATAGTGAGGTTCCATGGACACCAATGAATAGGTTATCCAGAAAGAAGCTAAACAGAGAAATAATGGAACTAACATACATTATGACTCAAATAGGCCTCAAATATATCTACAGAACATTTCACCCAAACACGAAAGAATATATTTCTTCTCAGCACATCATGGAACCTTCTCCAAAACTGATCATAAACTCAGTCTCTCAACAAATACAAGAAAATTGAAATAATCCCCTGTATCTCATTAGACCACTGTGGATTAAAGCTGGACTTCAACAACAGAAACAACAGAAAGCCTACAAACCCATGGAAACTGAAAAATTCTTACTCAGTGACCACTGAGATAGAGAAAGAAAGAAATCAAAGACTTCCTAGAATTCCATGAATGCATAACACACCCAAATTTATGGGGCACAATGAAAGCAGTGCTAAGAGGAAAGTTCAAGCACCAAGTGCTTTCATAAAGAAATTAGTGAGATCTCATACTTATCAGCATACCTGAAAGCTCCAGAACAAAAAGTAGCAAACACACCCAAGAGGAGTAGACTACAGGAAATAATAAAACTCAGGGCTGAAATCAAAACATAAAACAAAGAGAACAATACAAAGAATCAATGAAGCAAAGAGTTGGGTTTTTGACAAAATCAACAAGAAAAGAAAACCCCTAGCCAAACTAACTAAAAGGTAGAGAGAGAATATCCAAATTTAAAAAATCAGAAATGAAAAGGGAGACATAACAGACACTGAGAAAATCCAAAGAATCATTAAGTGTTACTTTAAAAACTTGCACTTCACAGAACTGGAAAATCTAAATGAAATGGGTGCTTTTCTTGGGTGCTTTGGTAAGTGCTTAACTTACCAAAGTTAAACCAAGATCAGGTAAACAGTATCAATAGGTCTATAACCCCTAAGAAAATAAAAGCAGTCACTAAAAGACCCCCCAAAAAAAGCCCATGACCAGATGGTTTTAGTACAGAATTCTACCAGACTTTCAAAGAAGAGCTAATACCAATACTCCTCAAACTCTTCCACAATTAGAAACACAGAAGATCATTGCTAAACTTATTCTATGAAGCCACAGTCACTCTGATACCTAAACCACGCAAAGACTCAACCAAGAAAGAGAATTTCAGACCAATCTCCCCTTATAAACATTGATGCAAAAATTCTCAACAAAATACTCAGAAACTGAATCCATGAGCACATCAAAAACATCATCCACCATGATCAAGTACACTTCAGCCCAGTGACATAGGGACAGTGCACCATACAAAAATCGTAATCCATTATATAAACAAACTGAAAGACAAACAACCCGGTGAACACCTCATTAGATGCTGGAAAAGCCTTTGACAACATTCACATTCAACAACCCTTCATGATAAAAGTCTTGGAGAGGTCAGGGATACAAGGCAAATACCTAAATACATTAAAGGCAATATACAGCAAGCCAATAACCAACATCAAACTAAATGGAGAGAAACTTAAAGTAATCCCATTAAAACTAGAGACAAGACAAGGCTGTCCACTCTCTCTGTATCTATTTAATATAGTACTTGAAATTTTAGCTAGAGCAATACCACAACTAAAGGAGATCAAGGGGATACATATTTTAGTATGATTATATGTCTGGTACCCACTTATAAGTAAGGATATACCATGTGTGTCTTTCTGCTTCTGGGATACCTCAGCCAGGATGATCATTTTTTTATTTCCCACCATTTGCCTGCAAATTTCATGATTTCCTTGTTTTTAATTGCTGAGTAGTATTCCATTGTGTAAATGTACCACAATTTCTGTATCCATTCCTCCATTGAGGGACATCTGGGTTGTATTTAGATTCTGGCTATTACAGATAAAGTTGCTGCAAACATGGTTGAGCAAATGTTCTTGTTGTGTACTTGAGCATATTTTGGATAAGTGCCTAGGAGTGGTATAGCTGGGTCTTGAGATAGCACTATTCCTGTCTGAGAAAGCACCAGATTGATTTCCAAAGTGGTTGTACAAGTTTATATTCCCACCAGCAATGGAGGAGGGTTCCCCTTTGTCCACAACCTCTCCAGCATGTGTTGTCACTTGAGTTTTTGATCTTAGCCATTCTGATGGGTGTAAGGTGAAATCTCAGGATTGTTTTGATTTGCATTTCCCTGATGACTACGGATATTGAGCATTTAAGTGTTTCTCTGCCATTTGATATTCCTTTGAGAATTTTGTTTAGATCTGTACCCCAAATTTTAATTGGATTACTTGGTTTGTTGCTGTTTAACTTCTTGCTTTCTTAAAGTGCTCAGGACCACCAGCACAGGGGTGATACCACCCACAATGGGCTGGGACCCTCCCACATTAATCACTAATTAAGAAAATGCCCTACTGGCTTGCCTACTGTATGAGTTTGCGGAGGCATTTTCTCAATTGAAGTTCCCTGCTCTCAGATGACTCTAGTCTGTCGTTAACATTAAAAAGTGGCCAGCACAAAATGGATGGATGGATATATACTTTAAACGAAGGTATGCCAGTAGTGTGAGAAGGGTCCCCCAAGATCCACAGACTATCTAACAAAGCCCCCAGTGCCAGGCACCAGGAAACATCTCTCAAGGAGTCATTCAGGGAAGTTTAACAGACCCCAGAAGAATAGAGGTTTTGCCATCGTATTTTATTGCGTCCCAGAATCTGAAGGTAATTCCCTATTGGTGACATAATTTGGACACATAAATTTGGACACAAGGCTTGGAGGAATTGAGCTGGAAATGGCACAGCAGCCTCCTCTGTGAGGCGTAGCTCTCATAAGTACTGGAAGGTACTATACAAATTTCCAGGGGAGAAAAGGTTTCTGTGCTCTTAGCCAGTGTGAAACCTACAGAGTACAACAATGACTGGACCAGCAGGATACCCACAGCAATGCAATGGTAGCAGTGTTCCGGGGCCGGGGCCGGGGCCGGGGAGATGCAGCCAACGGCTGTCTAACTAAATGTAAGGTCTCTTCAACAGGAAGGAGTTATGATGCCTGGCGCTGTAACCTGCTGTGGCTGGAGAAGTCAGGGACCCAACAGAAGGGCCGACTCCTGCCAGGTTCCCAAACCAATATAACCCTTGTTTTCTAAATACCTGTTCTATATTCCTGGAGACAAGTGCAGTTCTCGCCCGTCATCTAAGAAGCTTATCTTTGCAGGAGATGGAGACTGTTACAGAGACACACCACTTGTCAAAAATCATAGAATAAGTGACTGTGGGGAGCCCGAGTCCAATTTATATACATCTACGCTGCAGCCACTCGACCTATGAGCCTATGGGGCCAATCTTATTCAACCTACCATATTCTGAAAGAAAAAAAAATTATAAAATTTTCGGGTAAATAGATGAAAAATGGGTGGGGGGGGCATATCAAGTGAAGTAACCCAGACCCCAGAAGATAAATGCTGCTTGTGTTCTCTGCGATCTATGAATCCTACCTTCATATGTTCATCCCTTCTGTTTAACTTGTAAAACCGGTAAAAACAAAACAAAACAAAACCAGGAACCTAGAAAAGGCCTCCTTTGATGGGAGTTCTCTTAAGAGAGAGGGCATGGAAACAACATAGGGGATATCAAAACAGGTAGCTTGGGGCTTGGAAAGGTTAAGCAGGAATGGAGATTGGAAGATGAGCTGGGGAAGAAAGTGACAAAGTTAACCAAAATGAAGTCTAAAAAGTCATATCAACACTTAGCACTTTGTAATCCAATTAAAATATATAGATTTTTAAAGATAGAAGGGGGTATCCCACGTTAGAGGCTACTACTCTTGAAAGCCTTCAGTTATTAAACAAAAACCCCAGCTCTTGCTTAAATATACTTCCTTATGAGTTGCTGGACAGAAGCCTCCAAGAGGCCTCCAAAAGGACACAGAATATTGCCATTCCATTGGTTGCCCACCAGAACTAAACACTAAGATCATATTGCTAAAGACACCGCATATTTAAAGAAACGAAAATGTAACCGTTATGGAAGCTTTCCCAGTGTTACAAGGTACAACACAGGCTACTGCAAACCCTACCAACTACAGGATCAAGGCTCTAGGCATGTGCACCGGTCCCATAGCGGTAGGTTGCCAACTAAAGTTATACCTGGTACCATAAATCCAGTCCAAAATAAAAATAAAAAATCATGGTGAAGAGATCTTAGGCCCTTGGGATCGAATTTACTATTGTTTAGCTAAAATTTCATGTTGCCAAGCTACCTTTTAAATATCTTTTTAATTATAGCCACAGATAAATGTTACCCCTGGCCTCGATCAGAGAAGGCCCGCTTTGTCATGAACAATGGCGAACGCAGAAACACTAGGCTGCTCAAGCTGCTAAGAGAGTGGCAACTGAGTTGCAGCCCTAAACAAGACATTCACACAACCTCTTCTAAAACTCAGGGGCGGTCTTGTTAGAGTAAGTAGAAAGAATGTAACCACCATAGGGAGAAAGGCCTTGGTTTGTTTACCCAAGAAGCATATGACTAACCCAGGCTAGGTAACTTCTAAGTAATAGATACTATTTTTCCTTGTTTATTATATATCTTCTCTGTTAGATTTGCCATTTTATTCCTTAGGTTTTTGCAGGCGGAAGGAGGGGGGTATAGACTTCCACTTAATTAGTGAACAAATGAAGGGCGTACCAAAAGCAAAACTATTACATTTTATCAGTCCGGTTTTTCAAAGCGCTGCCTTACCAGCTGAAGTCAAGATGTCTAAAGTTTGTGATTCATAATGAATTATGTTATGATTTATAATTAATTAGTTATAATTTATAATTAATTTATTGTTCCTTTTCAACTTGTGTCTTTACACCATCTTTTAATGTACTCACTTGCTGACATTGGTGTGAGTGTTGCCTTCTGATTTGGTTCTAGAAAGGAATACAAAAAAAGGATGTTAATTAGCAGTGAAAAAATCTTAATAACTTTGTGAATACAAATTATATTATTGTATAAGCAGAATTATCTCTTTTATAAGACCAGTTGCCAATAAAATAATACCCAATGGGGTCTGAGTAAAGATTAGAATAACCTTTGTAATGGTAGCTGAAATGGAACATAGGACTTTCACAGGGTAGGCAAGTGATTTGCCAAGAAGCTACACCGTCAGCCTCACAAATGACAGGTCCGTCTTTTTACATCCCCAGCCACATAAAAACACAAATTTCAAGCAATGCAATGAAGAGAACATAAAATTCCTGGGCTTTTTTTCTCTTATCCCTACAGTTTTGTCAGTGTGTGTGTGTGTGTGTGTGTGTGTGTGTGTGTGTGCGCGTGCATGTATGCGTGCATGTGTCTGTGTGTTTGTATTCGCTTGTGTGCATTTGTGTGCATGCATGTATGTGTTTGCATGAGTTGGTGCATGTATGCATGTTGTGTATGCATGTGTGTGTGTGTGTGTGTGTGTGTATGCATGCGTGTGTGTGTGTGACAGAACTGGAAGTGTAGGAGTCCAGGGAAGCAAGTGGTCACAGACAAGAAAACCAGACAAGAAAGGGGACTCCTAGAGAGCTACCGAGGCCCGTGCCAACCCAGTCCTTCGCTGTCTTGTCTACACACAGGGCACATGCACCCGAAGAGAGCTCCTCAGCCAGACTAAACATATTCGCTCAGAACAAACACATGAGACCTTCCTGTTGCTCACACGGGGACATGGAATAATTGACGACCTCACAACTAGGAGGGACAGCCGCATCCTTGTGGGACAACCAGGCAGACAGAATTGTGACAGGCCAGCCCACAGCGTCTGTGTCTGCAGAGGTGCTGTCTAACAAGGGCTGAAAACAATGGTGCTGCACAGAAGGAGGTTTTGAGTTCACAGAACGTGGAGTGTTGTAAAAAATGGATGCACAAAAGAAAAAAAAAAAGGAATGGAATGGCATGCGGAAGGAAACCCCACACGTGTCAGCTGGTCTTAAACATGCATGCCAAGCGTATAAATTATGCTCGAAAACAAGTAATGAGGCACAGAACACTGAAACTGGACTCTCCTCTTACACTACACAAAGTTAATCAAAAAAATCTCAAGAACAAACTTTATTAAGACCTGAAGCCTAAAACTCCCCAAAGAAAGCATGCAGGGACATCTGTTCCACATTAGCCTTGGCAATCATCCCTACACACAAAGGGAACACAATCAGGGAACAAAAGGACCAACATAATCACTTCAAATACTGGAAGTGGCAAGGAATTAGCATCCAAATACAGATCCAAGGGCTGGAGAGATGGCTCAGAGGTTAAGAGCACTGACTGTTCTTCCAGAGGTCCTGAGTTTAATTCCCAGCAACCACTTGGTGGCTCACAACCATCTATAGTGAAATATGGTGCCCTCTTCTGGCATACAGGTGTCCATACAGACAGAATACTGTATATATAATAAATAAATCTTTAACAAAAAAACAAATACAAATCCAAAATAAACAAGGAATCCATGTCAATAGGACAAAAGCTCAATTAACATCTGGCCAAAGGCTTTATTCCAGCAATTGGGAGGCTAAGGCAGATCTCCATGAGTTCAAGGCTAGCCTGATCTATATGGAATTTTCCAGGCCAGCCAGGGTGACCCAGTGAGACCCTGTCTCAAAAATAGAATAAAACATGCACAGGATTTGAAAAAGCAGTCTTCCAAGGATGACACACCACTGTTCAATAATGCGACCCCAATTCTGTTGGGAAGGCCAGGAAGAAGGGGAGAAGTTGAGAGTGGGAAGCAGCTAGAGAGAAAACAGAGTGGGCTGCCCAGAAGGATGTCCGTGGACACACGATGCAGCTGCTCTGGATGATGGTTTCCCTGGGAAATTCAAAGCATAGCTGCCATCCCCCCCCAGCAATCCTACTTTGACCCACATCCGTTATGGTTCGGAAGATGTGAGGTGCTCCTCTGACCCCTGTAGATTAAAACCCGAACTGCAAGCTTGAGACAAATTGAGGTTGGGGAAACCCTCTCATGTGCAAACAGCCCACAACAGAGAAAAGGGGGCTCGGCAAACTTGAACTTAGGGTACCGTCGAGTGCTTAAGTACAGAATATGGCCAGCTTAAAAGTTTTGGGGAAACAAGCTATAAACGAAAGCAGGTCACAACGTTTGGAATGAACGTCTTAGTATTTGCCATGAAGATGATAATGAACAAGTATCCGCGATTTGCAGGGCAGGGTGGGGAGGTGGATTTCTGCACGGACAAGCATGAGGACATGAACTCAGATCCTCTGCCTCCACACAGCAAGCCTCACAGTTGTCGGAATCAGGTACGGGAAGATGGCTGATGAACACAACGCTGACTGTGGCGAGTTAGCCATACTCCCAAACCGGTCATCTTCGCAAAGCTGCTCGCTAACTAGTGTTTTCACAAAGGCTCCATGCAGTTAGATGATAAATTGATCTAGTGTCCGAAGTCCTAACAAAATGCAAAGCACCATCGCTTCGCCTGACACCTTGCTTGTGTGGCAAGGTCTTAATGCTATTAAAATGTAACTCTGAAACATGAATTCAATTTACTCGCTACTCAGGGATTCCTCTTCCTTGAAAATCCGCTGTTTCATGCCTCTCCATGCTGTGAGTATTATGATTGCTGAAGTTAGAATAATTAAAACAATGTACAAACTTAGAAGCCACTTCTTTTCTATACCATTATCTTCTTCCTTGTACAGATCTAAAAATAAAAGGTATGTTAAACATTAACAGCATAATTGACTTTCACGTTGCAACAAATTCATTAAAATGATTTTTTTTTTGCTGTTGTTGTCAAACAAGTAACTTGGAAAACTGACCACACAGTATGACAGTATTTGAAACTATACCTAAGCTCCTCCTTAAGACATGGGGACAAAGTTTCAGAGGTTTTTAGTGTATTTGACACCCTCTGGCAATTACAGTAAAACCCACTTTAACCTGGTGAGCGCCTTAAATCCAATGATCTGAAGTGTGGGTTCCTTCCAGTGAGACTCCCCAACTTTGCCTTGTCACGGGGTTCTCAGCGCACCTCACCATGCTGGTGTGACGCCTCCAGCATCGCAGGTGACAGCTGACAATATTCCCACCTTAGGTTTGCAGTCCTATCTATGAGACCGCTATGCTGTTTTAAAAGGGCACCAGATTAAAAACTCAGAAGCTTAACACCAAATCCAAGTCCGTCACTTGCTGTCAGTGCCTCTCTGAGCCTGTCAGGTCCTAAGCGTTCAAGAAAAAAAGAAAAGGGTGTGATTTTGGGTGGGTGGGAAAAATGGAGAGGACGTAGGAAGGTTTGGGGGAGGGGAAACCATAATCAGAATACACTGCATGAGAGTAAAACTATTTTCAATTACAAAACAAAGAGCTCCAGATGTATTTTCAAATCTAATAGGTGCATAAATGACAGAGGCCACAGGCCGCCGCGGTGAGCAGCCCTTCTGTTATGACTACTTAAGGTGAGATCCTTCATTTGTTTCTTGAAGTCTACAGACTCTACATCAAACCTCATCCTCCGTGTAGTTCCTCCTTTAATGGAAACACCATGGTGACCGCACTCAGCACAGTAAACGTCACCTGGAGATGAGGTACTGCACAATTTGTACACATGCAAAAGCAGGTGGGAAACCCCCCACGTGACAGCAGCATAAAGAGACAGACAGCACGAGACACCTGACATGAGGGTTCACTCCTCACAGAAACGGGCTAACAATGTTTGGGCCCATTATTTGAGAAAAGTCTAATTGTCTTTTGATTCTGTTACTAGTCTCTTTCGAGGTGGCAACTTGCGGCTTTATTTGAATGAAACTAAGTAATCTTACAGCTTTTTCTCGATAGCTACTTGAGGATGCCAATACTTGCCCTTCTTCCTAAACCACAGCGAGGCCGCTCTCCCGCCCTCAGCTTCGCAGTTTGGAGGGTTGAAGCCACTTTCACAATGGCAGTCACCAAGGGAATTGCACACCTAGGATCAGTTTGAGAAGTGTAAGTGATTTTTTTTTAATTATGAAACTATGTGCTACGTCATAATATTTACTTTTTTATCTTAGCCGAGTATGATCATATTTATGTGATTTAAAGAGAGAACCCCACAAAGTGAGTATTTGCCTTAGACTAAAACTCACGCATCCAAGGAAGAACTATTAAAAATATATGAAATGAGACTTGTATCTTGCATCAAGAAAACTGTAACATCGTCACATGTTTACTCTTAAATGTAGAGAGCACTTTCAGACACACACGTCAACTCTTAATCTAGCGGTGGGCTGGAGGCGGTAGGCCGGATCCCAGCATGCTTCTTTTTCCTTCCCCAGATTCAGGGACTTCCTGTCAGCTGCTTCAACCGTTGGCCTTCACCAGCAAGGACCTAACCCTTCCCCGGGCTGATTGTGGAACATTTACTATAAAAGAAGTGCTCTTCTCATAAATCCTCTTAATGCCATCTGACCTGGATCTAAATCTCAACAGAGTAACCAGAATCTTGATTTTAAAAAGAAAAATCAGCAACTTCCATGAGAATAAATTTGCTAAATGAAAAGAAATTGTAATTTGGGGCAGGAAGCCAGGTGAAAATCTTGGCAATGAAAGAAAATAAGAAGCACAGTGAGAAGTTCAATCAACAGACTAGCAAACAAACAAACAAAATCCTAATGCCATAGACGAGAGCATGACTGAATTTAACAAAAATAAGTAAGAAAGCAAACACACGACGATTGTCTGAGGTGGGGGGAAGCCATTTGTCCCGATAAACACATAGATTTGTAGAAAGGGAAGTATGGAAATGATGCAATGAGAAGGTGGAGCTTGAGAGTGAAATATATACATATATGTATAGTGCATATATGATATATAGGAACTATATATGCTGCATATCCTGAATGATGTACATATATCCTGTGTGTGTGTGTATATATATATCCTGAATGTATGCATGATATATATCCTGAATATATGTAATATATACATACATATCCTGAATACATATGATATATATCCTAAATTTATTTTGGATACATATGTATCCTAAATATATTCATTATATATATATATCCTAAATAGATGTACGATATATACCCTAAATATATACATTATATCCCAAATATACATGATATATATCCTTAATACATGTGATATATATATACTAAGTATATATGATTATATCCTAAATGTATATCATATGTATGATATATATATTTAGGATATTTAGGATATCATATAGATGTATGATATATGTATGTAAATATATGTGTATGATATATATTTAGGATACTAGATAGGATATATATAATACATATTTAGGGTATATGTCATATATATTTAGTATATATTATATATACTCTATTATATACATATATACATAATATACATATATTATATAAACCTGTATATATGAATAAACATATATTCTAAAAGATAACCACAAGGCAAAATTAGAAGCAACGAAGGGAACAATTCATCAAAAAGACCATCAGACAGTGAAACCTACTCCAAAAATCACACTTTGGCAAATAAATCAAGTCTTAACAAATGTAAAAATAATTATTTTTTTATCTGACTGGCGCAAACTGGAATAAAACAAGAAAGAACAGTGGCATAGCCGTTTCCACTGGGAACGGCAAAAGCCATAAAGCCAGCACAGCTTTTTTTTTTTTTTTCTTGTTCGAGTCAGGATTGCGCCAAACCTTCATTGCAATCCCACACCAATGGATACGTGGCTGTGAACAGGTGGAGGTGACGAGTCTAAGGAACACTGAAGCAATGTGTTGTAAGCACCAATTTATTAAAATGGAGGAAGCCAACGCCATCTGCCCCGGGCGGCAGACACACAGCACCCTCTGTGCCTTCTCATGAGCTTTCTTGTCATCAGGCTGGACTCACCAGGGAGAGGGTGAGGGTGTTGGTGGGCCAGGATGGGTCTCACCCAACAAACCTAACCACCACGTAACCCACAGATAAATTTTGTTCAACCCAATAATGCTTTATTAAACAGACAAAATACATGCTGCCAACACTTAAAAGTGAGTAATTTTATATTTATCCCAGCCCACCCTTCCCACATCTTACCATGTGACCTCAGATCCCCTCCCAGTCCTTCCCTCATTCATTACAACTTCCAGACCCCGGGTTTGGAGGGCCTACCCCCGATGTGAGGAGGGACCAGGTCCCAGTATTCTTAGATCCAGAACAGGGTATTGGGCACAAACAGCAGCCAGCTGCAGACTTGAGACAAAAGGTGGCCCCAACCATCTGGGCGGGCCTATCAAAAGGACCCTTAGGGACCTGAGCACCAGCCTCTCATTCTAAGCTGAGGGTGTGGGTCTCTTGGAGGACAAGGAGCAGGAGTCCAGACACACCAGAGTCACAAGGGATGATTCCCTGGCCTGGTGGGAAGGCAGTGGGGTTGGTTGAGGAACCATTGAGGCCACCTCACCTGGGTTCTCATGACTGGCCATCTGCTGGTCCTCAGAATCCAGCAGCCCCGGAGACCAAGCTTCTTCCCACAGCTCCATGTTTGGGTCCCTCCTCGGCCCCGGGGCCGCTGCGCCGCACCCTTCCTTTTCTCGCCTGCCTTGCGGATGGTGGCAGCGGCGGCAGCGGCCCAGCACAGCTTTTTGATACAGTTCCAGCCAAGCTGAGCTGAATGCTGCAATTATTGTTAGGTTTTTGGTCTCCGCGTGTTGAATTCTTAAGGACTTTCTGCATTATGATTCATGTTGTGTCTTTTTCAAAGAAAATTGAGTTATACCTTGCTTTCAGAAAAAATAACTTTATCACTTTATCTGGCTCTATTTGGAAGTCTTTCTTATGCCCTGGAGATCTTTAAACAGAGAAAAGCACATAGCTAGAAATTTCTTCATGAGGCTATTACTCCAGAAACATTCTTGGGGTATCAGCCCCTAAGCAAATTCCAACAGGAACAATTGACAGAGATAATTGACAAGCTCTGACTGGCCAGGAGAATAGGTGACATATTCAAGGCCTCCCTTTAAAGTTTGCGCAGAGCTCTCTAAAAATGTAATTTAGAAAAAGGGGGTCATATAGGGCGTATCCCTGGAGAAATGGAATTCAATAAATAAAAGACTGACTAAACTTTTCCTACTTAATAACAGCTATACTAAAAGGAGTTAGGTATTAGAATTGGCTGCTCATAAAAAGACCATTTCAGGTATTTTCTGTTTGTCTGGAGTGCTTCAAAACTGCAAATACTGGCAGCCTAAAAGCAGGTTGTCATGTAACAAATATGTTTTCTTTGGAGAAGACATGCTTTAGAGTCTTTAGAGTTATAGGGCTAATAAAAAAAATAAAATCTGTTCTGTTTGTTCTAATTGTTCTTTTGGGGGGGGTGTTGTTTTTTGTTTGTTGTTATTTTGAGACAGGGTTTCCCTGTATAGCCTTGGCTGTCCTGGACTTGCTTTGTTGACCAGGCTGGTGTCGAGCTCAAAGAGATCCTCCTGCCTCTGCCTCCGAGGGTGCTGGGATTACAGGAGTGCGCCACCGTGCCCAGCTGTACTCTCTAATTGTGACTGAACTTGTAACCCTGAGCATGTAATGAAAAATCAGACACATAATCTGTACTTCTTGGATAATCATTAGTCCATCTTTGTTCTGTGAAACCTGTAATAAATAAAGAAGCAATCTGATTGCTCGTCAGTCTGAGCGGCACCTGGCTCCTCTCTTCTCTAACCACTTGTCTCCTCTGCAGGCTGCTCTTGTCGATAGCCAGCCCATACTGGCCCCCAGCGGAGCAGCATGAGAAACAGCTAATTCTTTGACAACCTCACACATGTGTCTAACAAGTCTGGGGCATTTTCACCCCCTATTACCCTCTCTCTTCCTATCACCCACCTCTGCTCTGCTGAAACACTTCTTCCGACGAGCCCCTCCTGAAGTTTTAAATTGTTTCTTTGACCTGCTGAGTTTACTTGTGGTTGCCTGAATGAGCGTGAGTTGGGGGTTATGTACTGGAACATGAACAACTCATCAATCGTCACACCACTGAAGAAAATTTCTTGCCCTCTCTTCCTGTTAACCAACTGCCTCTAATCCCTCATCAGGGATCGAAGGGAGGAGCCTCGTGAGCCCCTCCCTGGTGCATGAGGAAATGGTGAGCTAGCCAGCTTTTAGCAGGCTACTGTGGCTGCAGTGACATCATGAGAGCAATGGCTGAGTGGTGTCCGGAAGAATAGTTCAAAGCGCTCCTCCCCAGTCTCTTACATGCTTTCTGCCCCTCTTCCGTGGTGTTTTCTGAGCCTTGTGGGAGAGTGAGCATATGGATGCTTTACTGAGGGCTGAGCACCCCCACAGTCTCTTTTTCTCTGCTCCCTGAGCAATTATGAATCCCTGCAAAGTCTCTGTAACCACTGCAAAACGAAATCTTCTCTGCTCAAAGCTGACATGAGTGTGTGTCTCGCCCAGCAGGTCACTATTGTAGGCCATGGGATACACAACTGGTTGGGGCCATTGCCAAATTTTCTCCTGCAGCAGCTTGCCAGAATTTTATGGCATTACGAAAGCTAGAGACAACATGAAGGAAACTTTCACCTCTATCCATTTTGACATCTCAGTGCTTTGCAACTAAAGGGGGGGGGTGCTTTCAACAATAGGGTCTGATGTTCTTGTGCCGGTGGGTAACCAGGGATATTGACCGCGGCCTGTGATGTTTTCGGGGTGCTCTGGAAACTCCCTGACCAACAGCTCACGGGAAGGTATCCTATACCTGACACTGGCCTTTTCAGTTAGTAACTCTTTGCTTCTTGGGGAAACATTATCCATCCATCCAAGGAAAAAAAGCAGCAGGAAATACTGGCGAAGAGGCAGAGTAGGACGCTATTGCTAAGGAACTTCCATGCTATCCAGCTGTGTCACATCTGGATACACTTCCCCCAAAGAATCAAAGACAGCTTCCTGTGGAGATGACTGCATACTCATATTGATTGTAGTATACTCACAATAGCCAAACTACAAAATTAGCCTACGTGAGTAGCAATGGATGAATGAATAAAGAAATACAGGTATATGAATCTCCTTCATTCACAAAGAAGGATGAAATTACACGGTTTGCACAAATGGGTAAAACTGTAGGGTTATCATGTTATAGAAAACTAGCCAGAAAGGTTTGGAAAGGAAGCTACTGGGCCTGGTGGCACAAGCCTGTAATCCCAGCACTCAGGGAGGCAGAGGCAGGAGGCTCGCTGAATTCAAGGCCAGCCTGGTCTATGAAGCAAGCCAGGCAAGGCTGCACAAGAAACCCTGAATCAGACAGGGTGTGGGGGGAGAAGGCTCAGGAAGATTAAAACCGCAGGAAGAGATGAATGCTGATGTCTCACTGCTTTATCCCCTGTAGTCAGTCACATGTCCCACCCTGCGGGACGGCATCGCTCACACCCACTGAGACCTTCGCGTCTCAGCTAAAACGTTCTTCAAACTCCTCCCCAGATGCCCCACCAGAGTATCTCCTGGGTGGTTCTAAATCTCCTCTGTTGATGATGAAGAGTACCACAGGTCCCCTCTTCTCCGCTCTGCTGCAAACAGTTGATTACTTTTTGCCTTCCTGAGGACAACCATTCCGACTGGGGTAAGGTTTCATTGTTTCAAAGTTTGTATTTCCTTCATAACTAACAGTGCTGAGAATTTTTTCCCAGACATTTGTTGGCTACTTATAAGTCTTCTTCTGAGAAGAGTGTGTTCCAAACTGTAGTGGACAAATGCAAAGCTTCAGGGGCTGCTGGTTGTTTAGAGGGAAGGGAAGGCTGGATAAGCCAAGCACAGAGTTCTCGGGAACTGTGAACATGAGACACGCTGCATCGAGAGTGGACGCCATCCATCGTCCATTCATCAGAGCCCACAGGTGGAAGACGCTGAGCGGTTGCAAGAGTCTAGTGCTGAATGCCAGACTTTGGGCGACAACAAACCTGCTAAAGTCTATCATCAGTCATAAGGAATCTAATACTGCACGGTGTGACACTGACCAAGGCGGGAGGGAGGACGTAAAGACGTGGTTTTCTTCCTGCAGAAGCAAAGCTGCACAGGACAACAACAGGACTTGTTGTTGTCTGAGAGGAGTCCCAGGGAGGATCCTGTATTGATAGTGTAGCAGAAGCCAGAGGCCTCCAACCAGACCGATGACTCCACAAGGAACATTTACAAGTAAAGCTGCTGGGCAAAAGGTATGTGCATTGTGCGACACACCACGACACACTGCAGCTTCCACAGCGAGATGGCTTTGGTTTGGGGTGTGGGTTTGGTTTTGTTTTTATTTTTTGTTTTTCTTTGGAGGTGTTGCAAGGGCAGAGAGGGGATATGGAGGGACAAGAGGATGAGTAGGATTGGGGTGCATGATGTGAAATTTACAAAGAATCAATAAAAAATTTTTTTAAAGATGTATTTTCAGTAAATATAAAGATGTGTTTTTCAAGAGCGAGACAAAGCTGACGTTTTTAATGAACCCATAGTCTCACAAACATGAGACTTACCTCCCTGCGATCTTCCACTGTAACAGGATTTTTAAAAAGTCATTTACAACTGAACTTTACCAAAAATGTTTTCTAACACTAATGATAGCAGCTGAGTTTAACTGCTTATTTCAGCTCCCAGGTGTCAAAGGGGCTTGGCACACAATAGACACCAAATGAGCCTGATAAATTAATGATGCTGGGAAACATTCCAGAGATGTGCGGCTACTTACTCCGTGTCCGTTGCACTTTCTTGTACATGTTTCCGAATTGGTCTTGAGAAATCTTGATTCTACACATACACTGTTTAAACAAATCTAAAGAAAACAGAGAGGTTTCCAATTCAGGGGTCTCCAGCCATCTTAACACTGTAACTGAACCACCAACCAAAGGGCATGCATGCGTTAGAGCGAGGCCCCTGCACATACGAAGCAGACGTGTAGCTCGGTCACCATGGTCCCCTAACAATGGGAGGAGGGGCTGTCTCTGGCTCTGTTGTTGTCTCCTTTAGATCCCTCTACCCTGGCCTCTGGGAGAGGATGTGCTTGGTCCTGCTGCAACTTAATGTACAGGGTGGGTTATGCCTGGGGGAGAGGGGAAATTCCTCTTCTCAGAGAAGGAGAGGGGGAATGGAGAGAAGGTGTGAGAGCAGGGCTGGGAGAGGGGGGGCTGTGATCCAGTTGTAAACTGATTAGATGAATAAAGTAATAGGAAAAAAGACATTTAATAACAAAACCATGGCAGTTCATTGCTATAAATTTGGATCTAGTGATTTTGCAGCACTTCTCAAGTGCTGATATCATACTTTTACTTAGTTTAAAATATTTTTAAAATTCTGTTGAGATTTGTTTTTTGACCTGTGTTATATCTAAAAACATGTTTGTTAATCACTGAGAATTTGAAGATTATCCAGGTACACCTGAAGTGGTCTGGAGACTTTGGGTGATAATCGTGTGTAACTGTAGGCCCACCAGTTGTAACAACTGTACAGCATTGTACAGCATTGTGATGAGAGCAGTCGAGAGTTAGGATGCGGGAAGAAATGTAAGAGCCATGCCTCCATTAAGACTTTGCTATGAACCTAAACCTCCACCAAGATGTGAGGGCTGGTGTCATAGGAAAGGTTTCAGTGGTCTGGGAAGTAGAGAGCTTTAATAGAATTCTGCACAGACACAAATGGTCTGAATTAAATTAAAAGTGGTCAGAAATTAAGTGAGACTTTAAGGTAAACTTATTCCCTTTGTATTTTCAGATTTGAGTTAGGGTCGTGGATGCAAATTTTAAAAAATGATAATTATAATAGCAGCCAAATTAAGCTTAACTTATGTCCTGGGCATTCCCGGCCAATGCACCAATGTTATTAAACGAAACATGAGGCTGGTCAACCGATCTTCTATGCAAGAGGTTTATTAAGTGGGTATGGAGGGAGTGGGAGAACAGGACATGGTGGGGAGAGAGAAAGAAAGAGGGGGGGTGCCCCGAGAGAGAGAGTGTGTGTAAGAGAGAGAGAAGAGAAGAGAGAGGCCACGTGTTGGGGTCGTCCCTTTAAGGGGCAAGGTAACCACGCCTTCCAGGTGTGGCCACATGGCCGGCAACACATGATGACATCATAAGTTGCTGGGTAACCCAGGAGCAGGTTGTGTTCCAAAATACTAACAGTTCTATCCATTTTTGGTAATTCCCTGTATTTTCCACAATAGTCCAGTTGAGATTACTTATTCTCAAAACATCGCACATTGTTCAGGTAACTTGTAAAACATCACATAATAATTCTAAGCATCCTGATTTCAAGGATGGTCTTCTCCACTGAGCCACAAGGACTAAGTGAATTTCTTCTCAGAAGAAAAGCAGTCTTCTGCGCTAGAAAGTATTGAAGCAGAATATATTCCCAACACTTCTTTGTCCTCTACCCTAGCCCTCAAGTGCTTGGTATGGATGTCCTCACTCATTGTGATAAAGTGCTAAAAAAATGAAATGTTTCTGTTTCCTATTACCAGGATGAACATCAATTAAATGTATTTATTTCTCCTCCAAACACTTAGGATTACACAGTGCAAGTCAAAATTTGATAATTGAAGACTCTGGCCAACTCAAGTGTGGCAAGCCTGGCTTTGGCTGGCCTTGCCCTTTTCCCAATTCCCCCTGCCTTGCTAAAAAGTATTATATTACAGTCTAGCCCCTAAGATCTAATTCCTTATCTGGCCAATCCATTCTACTGAGGCTGATGACCAAGGTTCAGCTATCAAAGTATTGAAGTCCAGCAATCAAAAGCTCTTTTTGATTCACCTAACTAACATGCCCAACTAAAATTAAACACCTCACCCTAACACAAGGTTTCCCATTTTACCTTTATAAACCACCATTTTCCTATGTGCCACATCAGCCTCCTCTCTCTCCAGAGGCAGTCCTTTGTCCTTGTCTGAGACAAATACCCCTGCTCCCTGATCTTTCTTCCCTTCTCCTTCTCCCTCGTCCTCTAGCTCCTGACTTTGTCTCTTATTCCCTGCCCTCTTTCCCTTTGGGGCAAATAAATGTTCTTTATGCTGAGAGCTTGGTCTTGGGGGTCTGAAGCCAATACCAATCCTAACCATCCTTTAATATGAAAATGCTGACCAAAATAATAAATGAAACTAGATTTTTAAGAAAATGATTGCAGGGCTGGAGGGATGGCTCAGCAGTTAAGAGCATTGGCTGCTCTTCCAGAGGAGGACCCTGGTTCAATTCCCAGCACCCACATGGCAGCTCACAACTGTCTGGTCTGTAACTCAAAATTCTAGTGGATCTACTCCCTCACACAAATACCAAATGTACATAAAAATAAATATTTTTTTAAAAGAAAATGATTGTAAATGACTTACCCTATCATGGTCACATATACTGCCACCAGGAACTTTGAGTGGATCGTCTTCACTGCTCAATCCAAAGTCCACAGTTATACATACTTGGTCCCGTACAAAAGCATAAACCACAGACGCACTGCTAGCATTAGGTGGGCTATAAGGAAGCCGGCTAGGGTAAGTACAAATTAATCTCCCACACATGAGATTCCTAATAACATAAAATGATTAGTATGCATTAGATGGTTATTAAAAATGTCTTGTAGTATCAGTCTCAGAAAAGACCCCGGGGCCCAGATATTTTGGTTCTGTTGCTCTCCTTGTAGAGCTCCTGTCCCCTACAGGCCTTTCTGTATCCCCCTTCTTTCATAAAATGAAATAACCTAGAACCCCTGCACAGTGTAGCCCATGGCAGCTCAGTCTCCAAGTGGGTGCTCTAGTAATGAGAACAGGGACTGTCTCTGATATGAACTCAGTGGCCTGCTCTTTGATCACATCCTCCTGAGCGGGGAGCAGCCTTACCAGGCCACAGAGGAAGACAATGCTGCCAGTCCTGATGAGACCTGATATGTTAGGGTCAAAGGGAAGGTAGTGAGGACCTCCCCTATCAGTGGACTTGGGGAGGGGCATGGGAGGAGAAGAAGGAGGGAGGGCAGGATAGGGAGGGGATGAGGAAGGGGGCTACAGCTGTGATACAAAGTGAATAAATTATAATAAATTAAAAATAGGAAAAAATGTTTTGTAATGATTCTATGTTTATGCCAACATAAAGAAAATAGAATGTGTTGATATAAACATTTAAGGTATAAAGTTTAAACCCACTGATGTAAAGTATTTGTTATTACTCACAGTCTTTAGTTTACTCTGTCAAGAAATCAATGAGATATAGCAAATAATAAATAAATATGTTAGATGTACCCCCAGAGACCTTACTAATTGATATTAAACATGATAAAAATCCCACTGTAATGTCATACATAAAATAAGTCCTTATAGAAATTTAAAATAAGATGGCATTCTAGCTTATCATTTCCGGAAATCTCTGTAGACATTTACAGAGCTAAAGCTTAAAAGTTAGTTTTAACCAGAATTCAAGAAAACATCAAAGGATGTGGCATGTTTAAGAACCTACAAATGGCACGAGAGAGCAAGAGTATATGTGTATGTTGCCAACTATTATTAACCCAATGTCTACTAATAGTAAGATTTTAATAAATATTTTTTACTAAACTCAGGAACAAATTAGGAAACAGCTCTCTGTGAAGATGCAGGAGAAATTGCACTTAATTTTATAAACATGAAGTAGTGTTCATCTTGGGTAAATCATCAAAGGGATTATTTTTATAAACAAGAAAAGCAGTAGCTTTAGAGGGAAAGGCCCTGTGGGTATTGTGTCGATGTTAGATTTGATTTAGGGGCCGCATGATCAGCTGCAAATAAATGTTTCAAAATGTTATCTTGCAGCCCTGGAATGTCCAAGCCTGGACTTTCGTTCCAGCTTCAGACAATGTGATACTTGAAACAAATGAAATTCATGGTATATACTAAAAAAATAAAAACTAAGTAAAAAAAAACAATGGGACATAGACAGTATCACTGTGTTGTGTGGCACACCTCCATCCACAGAATACGTATTTGTTTTGCTGGTTTTTCCCACAGTTGCCAAATCTGTCAGTTTGACCCTGGATTTCTTCATAGCAGGCAAAGGGAGCATTCTTTGAACCTATTAAAATTAGAAATATATTTTGGTTAAGGTATGCATTTATCTTCCTCCATGCCCTAACTCCATTATTACCTAACTCAAAAGGTTTCCTAAGAAGTTGTAAGGACAGAGAAGAAACTAAAGTGAGAGACAGCGCTCATGACTATAACTTAGTGCTTCTTTGCTATATTGTATTGATTTCTGTAACATAAAAGACAAGAGAAGGGACAGTTATAGATGTATATGCAGAGGAGAGGGCTTTGTCAGAGAAAACAACGAAAAGGAACATCGGTTAGATAGGAGGTTAAATCTTGCTTAGGGCTTAGTTCTGGGTACCGTACACGATCATGGAAGAGTAACTATATCGAGAGGTAGCTTCCCTAATCAAGGGCTTAATCCACCAATGGATTTTTTCAACTTGGCGGTACTGAAATATGATGTGCTAGGGTAGAAACAAAAGATGGCCTTAGGTTGCAAACCATAGGAAGCATGCCGGTTGGTTTCAGCGCCAACATGGCAACAAAGAATCATACGGCAACAGTGTCTGGATGAAAGGTGATCAGGTGGGCCTGTGGGCATGTCTGCGGGACCCAGCCCACCATCAGCGGCATTATTCCCTGACTTTGAGTCCTGAGCTGCTAAGTACAGAGTAAGTACGCGGCATGCATTCCTTCTCTCTGCCCTTGACAGCCAATCTGATGTGACCTCGGTCTGCTCACTCTTTCCTGCTGTTACCCATTGGAACCAAGGATCATAAATGTTCATAAACACTCCCCCCACCCAAAGTTGCCTTAGTTAGGGTATTTCATCACAGCAACTGGGAATGAAACTAGTAGAAAGAGTATGTCTTATACACCTCCTTCCACTAGTATCAGAGACACGCTTCCAGTTCAAATTTAGTTTCCCAGAGTAAGACTGAGACTTAGTTAAAAAGACACATTTTGCAAGTGTGAAGTCATCTGTCAAATGGTCCCTTAATTCTAAGGCATTTTCCGAGTCTCCTTAGTTATTCAAGTCGCCCATCCAGAAACAGGCTACTGTATTTAGATTCCCTGTACTACATAATCTAGTTCAATGAAATACAGTAAGATAATAGATGCATTTTAATAAATTGTCATTCATATAAATCACTAGAGCAATAAAATAAAGATATTGGATAATTACTGTAAACAATTGAGGTAATGCTCCAAAACTATTGCAGAGCAAAAGAGAGCATGACCTTGCCTTTCAAGACAACGATTAGAGATGACTAGACACAATAGGTCACTTTACACCAGCTGAGAAAAGAGCCCACTGAAGGGTTAGCATTCTTACCTGACACAGGACTCATCTTTGACTAATATATCAAACCAAACCCTGTTTTACCCCCTCCACTCTTATTTTATGCCATTAGTGAATCAGATAATGAGGCCAAACTTAGGAATGGTCCTTGAGTCCATTTTCCCTTCATCAGCTACCTCCATCTAGATCAGAGTCTTCATGAAAAAATCGCCATAAGAACAGCCTAAGTGGGGTCACATCTCATCTTCTCTACCATATTAGTTTCCAACAGTTCCCACCCACACTACTACCAAAATACAAGCTACAATGATCTTTTAAAAACTAAAGCTATATTTTTAGTCTTTTACTTAAGTATCTCAATTGGTTTATCATTACACTAAGAAAAAACTATTCTCCTAATCCTGATTTCAGCCATCCCCACGTCCGGGCATTACATCATCAGTTCTTGACCATGGGAAAACACATATTTCCAAAGGTCTTAAGAACTGAGACACCACTCTGTAGCAAAATTATAGTTACGAAGTAGCAGCAAAAATAACTATCTGGTTGGGGTTCCTAAGACTATCAGAAATATGTGTTTTCCAATGGTCGCAACCCACAGGTTGAAAACCTCTGCCTTGTAATTATCTGTGAAGTACCAAAGCATTGCCTATGTTTCTCTTCTTGGAATGCCCTTTCCAAACCTTGACTGGCTCCTTCTCACCGTTCACCTTTCTTCTGAAGTTTCATTTCCTCAGACAAGCATGGCGACTAAGCTTTTTTCTGTTACCCTGCCTATGGTTTTGCACTATTTGACCACGTGCTACCATTAACTGGCATCACCATGCGTTTTTTTTTAATTTCTATTCGTTTTTTTTATTTCTCTATATATAAATTTTGTGTTTGTCTCGCGCCCCCTCCCTCACTGGAATTTAAGTTCCATATAAATAGGAATTTCCCTGGTCTTAGTGTTGTTGTTCGCATCCAATTCTTGCCTATATTCTCAACATAAGAAGGCTACTCTACCCCAACAGGGTGCTAAGTAAATATTTATGTAATTAACAAGAACTGTATATAATCAACTGACACCAGACACCGGCTGGACTGTCAACCACATCCATTTCTCTTTCATATGAACTTAACAATCAATACCAGGACGTCACATACAAACTGTATCTGTCCTATTAAAAATTACGAAGGCTTTTTATTTTGGTTGTGAGCCTAACCATTAATGGCCAAGCCATCTCTCCAGCCCTAGATATATATATTTAAAAATAATATTTGAAGTAAACTTTTTTGTGATCTTTCCAAATAATTTTTCCAAATGCAGTTTCACTTCACTGGAACTCATTTTAGCTTCTCTCCTGTAGCCTGGATGGGGGGATATTAATTCAACAGTATTCAAAGGAGCTTGCAGAGGGAACCACATGAAAACTCCCACAGACAGACAGGGTGTCTTCTTCTTAGTAATTGGAAAAAGTTGATCCTCTCTCTCTCAAAAAAAAAAAAAAAAAAAAAAAAAAAAAGCATGTCTTGTGCAAAGTGATGGATTAAATTTCCCTACTCTTGTGGTATTGCGGTCTATCTTCATTTTCATACCTGATATATATGTTTAGGTATTCTGACATCAACTATAAATACATTTACAACGTATCTGCTTGATGAGCTGACTTCTTTTTCGTTATATAATCAAAATGTCTTTCACATCTCTTTATATCAGTCTCTGTATTGGCCCTTAAAAGCTGAAATGAGTCTCTTGAGTAGAGCAAACTCTGATCCAAGAACTGGAAGTCAGCAACTCAGAAAGCTATAACTTCCATTGCCAGGGAGTGGGCCAGTTTCCTGTGACTGTGATTCAAATGATTAAGATATAGGTATGTGTACAAGAGCTGTGGAGCTGGGACCTAGAGCTTAGAGCAGGATGAAGCGAGTGTTAGCCATTACCTACAGTACTTGCCAAGTTTGAGGGATATGCAAGATGAGGTCTGAAACAAGCCAGAATGAAGAGAACTGGAGTGCGGAGTATGACTCTCGAGAGGACACATGGTTTCAGGGCCAGGTTCAGCTGGCTCAGGAAGTGGCTGCCCCTCCATAGATGCTGTGTGGCAGGAGCTACTTCTTGGCAATGTGGAAGGCAGCACTGCAGCATTTCCTTTTTCGAGAAGGTTTAGGAAAGATGACTGTTGACCACACTGGCAAGAGATGCCACTGGCTGCTGCAGAGCAGATCAGTGGAAGACACTGGTATTTTTAATATTGTTCGACATCACAAACCACCAAACAAGCAAATATAAAAGAACACTCAGAGTGAAATATAATCTCATAGAGGTTGGAGTAAGTGTCAAAGAAGTCAAAAGTTAAACATTGGTAAGCATGGGGGAAATAGGAACTCTCATCCATTGGTGATGAAAGTACAAGCAAATGTAGAATCTATTGAAAACAGCACAGATCTTCTTTAAGAACTCAGTACAGAATTAGCTGATGACTAGAATTCCACCCTGGCGTATCCAAAGGAGAGGAAAGCACCTTCTCGAAAAGACATATGCATTTCCAGGTTTGTGGCTGCCTGATTTACAACAGTCAAGATTTTGAAACAACCTAACGGTCCATTGAAAAATTAAAGAATAATGAATAGGTTAAACATAATTTGTAAAAAAGAGATATATGAATAGGAGATAGATAGATAGATAGATAGATAGATAGATAGATATAAATGATAGGTGATACATAAGTTCAGTTTTAGTAAGGATGAAGCTATTTGTCACAAGAATAAATCTACAAGACATTGTGCTAAGTGAAATGAGCCAGGTACAGAGGTTAAAAAACTGTCATCCCACTTCTATGTGAAATAAAAAAATGTCAAATTCACAGAAGCACAGTGTGAAATGGTTTTAAAGACTAGGGTAAGGAGCAAAAGGGAGATGTCAGTCAAGAGGTTCAAAGTTTGATTTATATAAAATGGCTCAGCTCAAAGTATCTAAAATATAGCAGTATGACAATAGGAAATAACCCTCTTTTGTATATTTGAAATTTGCTAAGAGCGTAAATCTTTAGATTTTATTTAAAGCTAAAAGAGAAAACAGTACCTATGGGAAGTTATAGATATTTTTATTAACTTGATTATGGCAAATATCTAAGCATATGTACATATATGAAACTATCAAGTCATATACCCAAGATAATTTATATTTGCCATTTATACTTCAGTAAAAATACTTTTGAAACTATGTAAGCATTACATAGAAACAGAAATCTATGTGATGATTCCTATTGTCCTAGCAATGTGAAAAGAAATACTGAGTCACTGATTTAGATGTAACCAAAATGTTACCTGTTCCATATGCTTTCTCACACATCTCGTTCTGGTCAGGACAGTTTCCTTTATAACAAATAAAGCCCCCAGCTTTGCAAATGTGTCCATCGTGTATAGTGAGATCAGGTGGACAGTATCCTGAGCTCCCATTGCAGACTTCAGGAAGGTCACAGATTGGATGGTATTTGGCTCTACATTCATGCTTCTGTGGCAAAAACTAACAACAACAAATATACATATATATATACATATACATATATATCACAATACTGTATTTATAAATATTTTAAAACAGTATAGTTTGTTCTTTGATTTCTTGGTGCTCTTCCATCTCTTAGTGTAAGTTACTGTGCTATTTATTTTAAAACAACTTGAATGTTTGTATGAAAATGAGCAATGAGACAGGTATCTAAGGAATGGTATAACAGAAAATAGGACACTGGGTTGTGGGCATGACTCAATGGGAAAAGTGCTTACTGTGAAGCCGAAGGACCTGGGTTCAAGTTCCCAGAACTCACATAAGAGCTGGGCATGAAAAAAAAAAAAGCTGGGCATGGTGGTGTGTGCCAGTAATCCTAGTGTGGGGGCTTGAGGTGTCAAACAAGAAAATTCCAAGGTTCATGCACCAGCCAATCTAGCAGAAATAGCAAGCTTCGAGCTGAGGAAGAGACACAGATCAAAGAAATAAGATACAGTAGAGGAAAACATCCCAGTGTCAACCTCTGGCTTCACATACACTCATACAGGCCGTAGGCATATGCACTGGACACACACACACACACACACATATACGCACTGAAGCCTTGTGGTATCATTCACGGGTACAAAGACTACTCTTAGCTTTTGAAATTATTCTTTTTTTAAGATTTATTTATTATTTATACAACATTCTGCCTGTACACCAGATTTTACTATAGATGGTTATGAGCCACCATGTGATTGCTGGGAATTGAACTCAGGACCTTTGGAAGAACAGTGAGTGTTCTTAACCTCTGGGCCATCTCTCCAGCATGAAATTACTTGTGTAGAGTGAAAATATTTTAGTTAAGTCAACTTCCTAAAGTACAGATACAAAACAAATAACTGAGACGAGTGTAGGGAACAGATGAATGATGACTGAGAAGCATTGGAACCATGAGAATTTTTAAGAAAGGAATCCAAGTATAACCTTTATGCTACATTATAATATTTTATACAGAGAATTCTGAAAGATTACATAAGGATTCTTAAAGGATCATCTATCTCATCTTCTTGGTCATTATTTTTGTTTGACACTGAAAAAAATTTACAGAAGATAAATATAACCATGCTTTGAGTTTCAAGAAAAAAAAACCAAAACAGTGTCAACTGAGAACAATGAAGAAGATGATATGAATGCATGTATTTCAACTGTGGTATTCTCATATGTGAAACTCACTAAAAAACGCATTGGAAGACCTAAAAAAGGAAACAGATCAGCAATCAACATGGGAACATTCAGTAATAGCATTGCCAATAAATGAGAAGTGTGTGTGTGTGTGTGTGTGTGTGTGTGTGTATCCTGTTTGGAAAAATGTTAGTTTGACTTGGTGATAGACTTCTTTAATCTTGGGTTCTTGGGATACTGAGGCAGGAAGAAGTAAATTAAAGGAAAACCAGGGGTTATAGAATGAGTTCAAACAGGGTCAAATAAAGAAAATCTGCCACACACAAAGAAAAGAGATGGGGTGGGAAACAGCTTCGAGTTAATAAAAACAGAGATATTAGACAAAGACTGCAACATTGAAGAAAATTTCACCAGGTAAGAAATTGAATCCTCGATTCACTTTTCTTTAAAAGTACTTAAGTTACTAAAAAAAAGCAAGTTGTTTTTACATAAAACTCTAGCCATAAGTCAATGCACCCTGTATAAAGTTCACAGGCGATTACATAACGTTACTAAACTGAAATCTTACTTGACATCTTCTGCAGCAGGTTTGTGAGGGAGACATACTGTCACAAGCATTTCCTGGCTTCAGAACACAAGTTGTAGGGTCACAACAGCTATTAGGCCCACATTGCTGCAAAGGAAAATACATGACGATAACAAAAACTTGGCAGAACTATGTGATCTAGGAAGGTATTAGCCATAGTGGCTCGTACAGACAGTAGCATTCATAAACTCTGAGAGTGCTTGATGGGTCTTCATAGAGTAACTGATACTCTACTTCCTTCCCAAGCCTGTCAGAAGCCATAGAGGACAGGAAATACGTTTTTCCAGAAGTTGAATATAAAAGAGAAAGAAGAACCACAAATCGATAGAGAAAGAAAACAAAGAAATTAATGAGCAGACCATGATAATCTTGATGATTTAAAAAGACAAGCTGATCTCCGACCTGCTGCCACCTGCAAATCTAATGTATCCGGTGGTTCCAGACCCACCGGATACAAACCCCCTGTGGGTGGGCTATCCTTGAGGTGTCTTATCTTTTTACCCTCCCCCACCCATCTCTATTTCCTCCTCACGTATGGCCATCTCCACACCCACCGGCCTAGGCCCAGTTAGGTTGCCTTTGAACCTGCTTTAGCTCAAAAGGTGAGACGCTCTTTCCCACTCCCCCTTGTTATCTTGGCACCCACAAGTCTACTTCTGGACCTGTGGTTTCTGAACAATTTTGCCTGGTCCAGTTGAAGAGCCCATGCTCTAGCTTTACCTGGTCTAGGTTAGGCCATTGCAGCTCCTTTACTGCACCAATCTAAGCCAGGCCTAATGATCATATCAGACAAACAACCAAAGAAACAAGTCCACCTGCCCAGGTCCAAGCTCCAAAACAGAAAACGACATGAATGGCAAAGACGGCCTGTCTCCCGACATACCCACCACTACTTAGAAGTGGTGTCTATAAGAAGTACCTAGGTGAACCCCAGGACACAGAAACTAGAAGAACAATCATACACTTCATGAAATAATTCAAGGAATGTAAAGGAGACATCAGCAATCACGTCATTGAACTCCATGGGGATAACAACAAACCCTTGAGTGTTGTCTGTGAAAACACAAATGCATAGCTGGATAAAATTAAGCTAGTTCAGAATTTGAACACTGAATTCAGTAAAGAGAGAGAAACATTGAAAAGAACACATGCAGAAATAAAGCTGGTGTGGAAAAATTAATATCCAATTGGAAAACTCCAAGAACAGTCTACAACATAGAATGAATCAGGCAGAAGGCAGACAGAATACCAGGGCCCAAAGTAGAGGATCTGCACAGAATAACGAACATAAGGAACACACAGTAACTGTGTGATCCTGAGAAAAGATCAAACCTTCCATTTATAGGCTTGAGTGAAGGAGAAGACTCCCTAGTTGACGGCCTAGACCAGATCATTAACAAAATCATAGAAGAAAAATTCCCCAAACTAAGGAAAGACATACTGATACAGATATAAGCAGCATACAGAACCTCAACTAGATAAGACCAGAAAAAAAAACATCACCCCAAGCATAGCATAATTAAAATACTCCATAGCTAGAACAAAGTAAAATGATTGAAAACTACAAGAGAAATTAAAACACAAGTCAATATATAAAGGGAAACCCATCCAGATATTTCTCAGTGAAAACTGAAATCCAGGAAAGTCTGGAACAATACATTACAAGTTCTAAAAGATCATGACCGATGACCCACACTACTGTATACAAAAAACTATCCATAATAGTTAAAGGAGAAGGCTGGAGCAAGGGCTCGGCAGTTAAGAGCACTGGCTATTCTTCTGAAGGACCCGAGTTTAATTTCCAGCACCCACATGACAGCTCACAACTGTCTGTAACTCCTGTTCAAAGGGATCTGAGCCCCTCACACATGCAGACAAAACACCAATGTTTGTAAAATAAAAATAAATGTTTTTAAAAATATAGTTAAAGGAGAAAATTACCCAAACCAAAGCAAAAAAAAATATTTTTTTCCTCCATTTTGGTTTTTTTGTTTTGTCTTGGTTTTTGTTTGTTTCTTGTTTTGGTTTGGGGTTTTTTGTTGGCTTGTTTTTTGAGAGAGAGATTCTCTGTGTACCCTTGGCTGTCCTGGACTCACTTTGTAGACCAGGCTGGCCTTAAAGTCACAGAGATCTGCCTGCTTCTGCCTCCCTGAGTTCTGGGATACAGAGGTGCACCACTGCACCTGGCTAGAAAAATAAAAAAACGTTGAGGCTACAAACAGCTGCAAAATGCATAACAAACAAGCAAAAAACCCTGAACAGAACACTGAGCACCATACTTAGAAACCCTGAACAGAATACTGAGCACCATACTTAGAACTGAAGAGAGGAATAAGCATAGAGACTTTTAGCATTATTATAAGGACATACTTTAAAAATATATACTCCATAAAACTGGAAACCTAAAAGAAAATAAAGTTATAATTTAATGAAATGCAAAACACAACTAAGAACACAAGCCTGAAAAAAGTCTACAATCTATAAGCACATTTCAATAATCAATCTAAAGATTAGTGCCTTCAAATCTGCAATAAAAAAATATAGACTAGGTAAATGGATTAAAAAATAAAATCTACCTCTCTCATCTACAAGAAAGCCATCTTAGCCTTAAAGATGGGTGCCACCAGGGTGGGAAAAAAATACTCTCTGTAAATGGAACCAAGAAACAAGAAGTCATAGCTATTTTAATATCTGACAGAATAGACTTCAACCAAAAAATTAATCAGAAGACATAGGGAAGGTTACTTACATACTTATTAAAGGAAAGCTCTACTGAGAAGATTTTTAATTCTAATCATTTACACACTAACAGGAGGGCATCAGATTTCATAAACGAAAGACCACCAACAGCCAAGATCACGTATTGACCAATACACACTGAAAGTGGTAGTCTTCAGGATCCCTCTCTCACCAAGAGAAAGGTCATTGAGACAACAAATAGAGAAATGCTGAATTAAACAATGATATAAATCAAATAGACCACTATAGAACAATCTGTGTAAACACTAAAAAGTATACTCATTATCCAGCATCCTGGGGAACTTTCTCCAAAACTGACTATGTATTATGCCAAAAAGCAAGTAAGAACACATACAGATAAATTAAAATAACAACTCATGTTGTATCTGACAGCCATGAATTAAAGCTGGATATCGACAACAATAGAAATAGCAGAAAATATACAATTTCATGTAAGCTGAACAACTCACTACTGAATGAAATTACATCAATATAGAAATCAAGAAAAAAAACTAAAATCTTTTTAGAATTGAATAAAATGAAAACACAACATCCCTCGACCTTGGGACATAGTGAAGGCAAATTCACAGTAATAACTGCTTGTGTCAAAAACAGCTGGAGAGAGCCCATATTAATAACGACAACACAATTGAAAACTCTAGAAAAACAAGAATAAATAAGAGCCAAAAAGAGTAGATAGGAAGAAATAAACTCAAGCTGAAATCAGTGAAATAGAAAAAACAGAACAATATACAAAAAATAAGAAACCAAGGGTCTTTGACAAAATCAATAATATTGATAAACCTTTAGCCAAATTAGCAAAAACATGCAGTGAGATGATCCAAATTAATAATATCAAGATGAAAGTGGAAACATTACAACAGATGCAAAGAAAGTCAGAGCATTATTAAGGACATACTTTAAATATATATATTCCATAAAGCTGGAAAACCTAAAAGAAATAAATGCATTTTTTAAAATATACACAATGTAACAAGGTGAAATCAAAATGAAATAATGTAAGCAAACCCCAAACTCCTAGTGAAATAGAATCAGTAAATTAAAATCTCCCAACTAAAACAAGCATTGGGTCAGATAGATTACACATAAAATTCTATCAGACCTTCAAAAAATTGAATTAACGCCCATACTCCTCAAAGTATTCTGCAACATAGAAACTAAAGAAACATCTCCTAATTCTTTTTGTAAGCCGTTTTTACCCTGATATCCAAACCACTCAAAGACTCAACAGAAAAAAATATTATATATCATTATCACATATTAACACAGATACAAATAGCCTCAACAAATACTTGCAAGAAGAATTCAAGAACACGTCAAAAATATTATTTACCATGATCAAGTTGGCTTCATCCCAGAGATTCAGGGATTGTTCAACATACATAAATCAATAAACTTAATTCATCACACAGACAGGCTGAAAGACAAAAACCATATACTCACCTCATTAGATGCAGAGAGGCCTTTGACAAAATCCAACATCCCTTCATGATAAAAGACCTAGAGAGACTAGGGATAAAACTGGAGAAAAGATAACATCTTCAACACATGGTCAAACTGGTTGGCTGCATGCCTAAGAATGCAAATAGATCCATACTTATCACCTTGCACAGCACTCAACCCCAAATGGAACTAAGACCTCAACATAAGGTCAGATAAGCTGAATCTGACTGAAGAGAAAGCAGGGAACAGTCTTGAACTCATTGGCAATGGAAAAGACTTTCTCAATATGACACAAACAAGTAAAATGTGAGCTAAGAACAACAATAAATAGGACCTCATGAAACTGAAAAGCTTCTGGATGGCAAAGGACAAAGTGGCAAGTGACAGAAGGGGAAAAAATGAAAAACTACACATCCAATAGAAGGCTACTCTCTAAATAAATAAGGAACTCAAAAAAAAAAAACAGACATTAATAAAACACATAACCTAATTTAAAAATAGGATATAGTTTTAAACAGTTTTCAGAAGGTAAAGCACAAAGGACTGAGAAACACTTAAATAAATGTTCAACATCTCTGGTCACCAGAGAATACAAATCAAAGCTACTTTGAGATTTCATCTTATGCCAGTCAGAATGGCCAAGGTCAAGAAAACATGTGACAGTTCATGTACATTTAAAGGATTGTAAATGGAGTCACCAAAAAAATAAGGGAGGTGATGCCCCAACTAGACATCTTTTTTTTTAACTTCAATTTATTTTTTAGTATATTTTTTATTTATTACAACTTAATTCACTTTGTATCCCAGCTGTAGCCCCCTCCCTCGTCCCCTCCAAATCCTGCCCTCCCTCCCTCCCTCTTTCTCCTCCCATGCCCCTCCTAAAG